TACAAACGAGGCATTTGTTGCATCCAGTGGGGACATAATTTCTGATTATAATGACTTATACTGTCTTTTTACGCGTTGCGTTGCATATCGCGTCACGTAAACATAAAACCATGTTGTGAAAGAGAAAGAAAAACTTGAAATCGCATCATATGACCCCTTTAAGACGCCGGCATCAGTTTGCTCTGTTATTCCTGCCTCAATGCCCCATGATAGCTGTGTATCACTTGACTTCTCCTTCCTTTTAATTCTGGCTAATGCCGTCATTTATCACACTGCAAATATTCGAGCTGAAAACCGATCCCCTCAAATCCAATATACTTCCTATAGTTCGTCTGGGAAAAGAATTAAGCTAAATGCATGGGCTTTATTGCACAACAGCAGGTGCCAAGTTTACAGTACAGGGAATTTGTCATCTGCATCTCTCATCGCCTTTACTCTTCCTTTCAGTGTCTGTCTGTGTGTTTATCTGTCTTTATCTCTTTTCTCACTGTGTCTCTCTCATTATACCCCAGAGGAGTGATTCCAGCGGATGCAGTATTAGATTAAATGAGCAGGCATGTAAATGCTTGTTTCTCTGGCGCATTTCTACAAAGCTGCAGTCACCATTAAGTCTTGCTAGTGTTAATCTGGATTCCTTTTTACTCATTGAATGAAATTTAAAGGAATTACTTCAGAATTTACTTAAATTTTAATTTTGAAATTTGTCAATAATAATATTAATGATGATAATAATATTAATCTCAGACTTTTTTAATTTTACAATTAATATTTTTTTTATTAAATTATTTAAAATTGTTCAGAAAAATGGACTTTTATAGTCCAAAGGCTAAAATCATAAATCATATTACTTTTATGGAACTTCTATTGTGTGTGTGTTTTTATTATTATTATTGTTATTTTAATTTTTATTTATTTATTTATGCATGCTTGCTTGCTTTCATTATTTAAAAGAGCAGAGTGATCATTCTTCAAAATATTTCCTTTTGAGTTCCACAGAAGAAAGAAAGTCATATATGTTTGGATGGTAAATGATGACAGAATTTTCATTTTTAAGACGATTGACATTTATTTTTTATCAAAAATCATCTCAGATTATCATGCTGTATAAATACTAATACATATATAAACACTGTTCTTTTTGTATTGGCCTTTATTGTGTTGATGGTACATTTTATAGCCATAAAGCTGAGGATTTTCTCACTACATCAAACTCAGATACAAGTCAAGCTTTTAGTCGGTCATTCTATATGGTCTCTGACCTTGCTTACTTGAACCTGCTCATACAGAAGTGTGCCAGTTGAATATAAAAGCTCCTTCAGTACACCTCCTCCTCCACTGGTGTTTATACAGAAGGAAGCCCAGTGGCCATAGAGCTCTTGTGCGGAGGCTGATTCTTGAGAGGATGTGGAGTCCCTGCTGTTTGGCTTTTGTGAGAAAAGAAGCGCTCGCTCTACAGAAGCAGTGGTGCGTGTCATAGGCCCGAATGTACGAATCACGCAGCCCCCAGCTGTATTGTGAGGAAACAATGGCCAAAAGCACTCTTGCCCTGAAACTCTTTGTATAAGCAGCATTTTAAAGGTACTTCTTACTGAGTGTGTAGTTTGCCCAAGGAGGAGTCCTGTCAGGACGGCTCATCTACAGATTGACTGCTGTGAAATTTCATGTGAAGGAGTTGTAAATCATGTATTAAAGGGATAGTTCATGCAAAAAAGAAAATTCAGGCTTCATTTATTCTCCCTTTTGTTCCAAAAAAGCATTCAGTGATGAGGGGCTTTACGGGTGCATTATTGTGTAGAATGAATTTTAATGTTTTTTCCCCCCCATAAGGTAATATGGAAGTGCATAGTCACTGATAAGCTACTACTAAATATTGTAGAAACTTAATTTACTGTAAAGTTGCTTTGCAACGATTTGTATCGTGAAAAGCGCTATACAAATAAACTTGAATTGAATTGAATTGAATTGAAAATTGCATGGAAAGAGTGGACTAAGTGTTCCGTTAGACATCTGCTTTGTTATGAATGACTCCCCCTGGTGGGCAAATATGGCAAAGGCTGGTGCTGAATACTGTTGAGTAGGCTACTTTTGATTTACGTTTGCAAGCATGTTTCAGAACAAGAACTATTGCCAGCCAAACATGAACATACACAGATTTCAGCATTTCTTTATTGATTGATTATTTTATTTTATTTAAAAAATTTTTTTTATATTTGTATATTTTTTCTTTCTTTCTTTTTTTAACTTTTGATTTTCAACAGCAAAAACAAAAAAAACTCTTAAAAATAATTTTATTTACAAAAAGAAAATGGCTGAAGGCGACATTATGCAGATGTAATATATGTTTTTGCTATTTAATGCAAAACTTGATTGGTTTGTACTAATTCTCCCTTTTTTGTCATTTTTGCAACTTTGTCAACTTCTAAATATTATCTTTATTAAAAATCAGCTTAATTTGCAGCAGCGTTATTTTAGTAGCTTTGAGATGTTATTATAGTTTTTATTAATATTTTGTGTTTTAATTTAAGTTAAACGTTTTAGTAATTTTGTTGTGTGTTTTGGTCATTATTATTATTATTTAATATGTCTATATAGTTTTTATTAAATTTATTTAGGTTTTAGTCAGTTTAGATCATAAAGTTAGACTCAATGAAAATTGCAAATGCTACCTTGGTAACTAGCAGAAATAAAAATCATTTTTAAAAAATATTTTATTTCATTTAAACTTTATTTTATTTCAAGTATCAAAAGTTTTCTTATGGTTTTAGTTAGCTATAATAACCCTGATTTGGAGTAACAATGTAGAATACATCAAAGTTTTAAGTTCACAAGGCATAAAAATGGATGTACAAGACTGATGAATGAGATTTTCAGTGGAAACAAACATTATGTTGATACCCAACTCAGCTGTCCCCTGTTAGAATACAGTTGTTAAAGAGAGAATTAGAGAGAAACTGACTTTTCAATACAGAATTGTGCATGAGGGCCGCTGTTTCCAGGGCCATCTGCCACCGACATTAATACGCTTGACGGAAAGGCCAAGAGAGAGAGCGAACAAACAGTCTGATAGCATTTGTGCACTGACTGCCTCTGCAGTGCCCCTGTGAGAGCGCCAGGACACCTTCCCATGGGCATCGGTGTGACAGAAACGCAGCTGAATCACTGCTGATGTTTGCACAGCTCGCAGTGAGCATCCTATCGCGTATGTGCCGAGCTTCCTGGAAGTCACCATCCGTGGTACTTTATTTATTACCTGCTGTTAAATGCAGCATTATCCGCACATAATGCCACATAGAAAATCTCGGTCAATGGTGCTAACGTGAAGCCATTCATTGCCATCGCAGATCTGGATTTCTTTTCTATTGAGCCAGCTAACACTTTTTCGCCTTTGTTTAACAGCTCTCATCCACATAAAAGAGGGAACATCCCCAGGCACAAAAGCCTCACTGGCTTCTTTCCTGATGTGGCTGCACTGTGAATACGATTTGCTTTGTGTCCTGCTGTTGTTTCTGATGCCTGGATGGATGGCTCAACATGAACCACCTACAATGGGGCGAGATCATTAGCCATTCAGTTTGCTAGCCCATCCACGCTAATTGGTGGAGAGCCGCACATCTCTGTCAATTCTCATTGTGCACTCAGTTAGCTGGGACGGCCTCTGTCACAGGGCATCGCTTCACCTTGTTATGGCAGCGTGTTCCCTCAGGATGAAGAGGCGGGTGAAGAGGGCACCCAGCCAGCCCAGATGTTCCTTTCGGCGCCACAGCTCGCTGTCACCTAGTTGAGTTCCGCAACTATGGCATACATAGGGGGACCGGTTGCCTAGGCAACAGTGCTCCTGCCTAATGGCCAAATCAGTGTGCTGAATTCTGAATGGATGGTTATTTTGTCCTTTTTTTTTTTGTGTTCGCCATCTGCTACGATTCCAGTTTTGTTTTCCAGATGGAGCTATAGGTTGCCTCATACTTGGACTGAGAGAAGGGCAGCAGCCATTAGGTCTGTTTGACTGCAGCGCCAAAATTGTGGTTAACCCTGGTTAACCCTCATTAAAGGAGGATGCTGCTCTCGGATGCAAAAATGTTTTATTGGATGTTGAGTGTGACCTCCATCAAAAAGCTGTAAAATCATGTGACCGATTTTCGAGACCTGACAAAAAAAAAAAAAAGCACAATTCTTGTTTTCTTTTTTTCTGGGTTACTTTCATCATTATGAGTAAACCAGAAAAGCTATAATCATCCATTGGGTTTGTGATTATGTTTCTTGATTGAATATGGAAAACCTGACAATATTTTCACTCTTAGAAAAATTAAGATAGCAGTTTATTTAGCCCATTTAGACAGGAGACCCACTGTCTGACATGCTAATGAACCAACCACTGTTTGTTCCCATTTAGGGTCAAAGTTGCAAAAGACAGCCTAACAGATTCGCTTTGGATAAAAGCGTCTGCTAAATGACTAAATAAATAAATAAATAAATTTTATAAACTGGAATTTAAACATTTTAAACTGATTTCTAATTGTTTAACATGGTGTGGTGCTTTTGAATGGATTTTATATGTCTGCTATTATACATAGCAGGATTGTTTACATTGTGTATTTGTGCTCCCATATGCTTTCAGTTAGCATTTGCATTAATGTACATTATCTGTGTTCTCTCCCCAGTCCCTCAGGGAGTGATCCAGAATGGAGCTCGAATGATGAGCCAGGGCCTCTTCCCAGGAATCCGACCCCTTCCCATCAACCCCATTGTCAGCAGGACAGCCGCTGTCAGGTCAGTCCTGTCCCTCAGGTCACTTTTGGCCCATTTCCTGACTCATTACATGATTGACAGGTTTATCAGCCAATCAGAATCATGCGTACACTGCAGTGCTTTGGCTCATATCTGATCTCTCCCTTTGACTCTCTGAAGTCTGGCTGCTCTATTCCTCACATTTCATTCAGAGCAGCCAGGTCATTGCAGACATCAGCGCAAAGTCTTATCCGGGCTAAGGCCCCACTCTTGCATGCATGATGTGACATGAATAATTGATCACAAACACTAAGTTTTTTTTAATGGCATGACCAAACACACAGACTGACTGTCTTGCCGTGAAACATTCATAAGCTGAGCCTCAGAAACAGGCTATGGAGACAGATCAGCCTCAAAAATAACACATTTGCAAAACAAAATTCATAAATGCACAGCACAATTTATGAATTTTGTTTTGCAAATGTGTTATTTTTGAGGCTGATCTGTCTCCATAACAGGCCGCCCCTCAGGTACTGCATGCTAGTGCCAGTGCACTTCAAAATCTACACGAAATATCCCCTCAACTGAAGGTAATTGGGCTCAGGGTCTGGCCCGGTCACAAAATCAAGCATTACAAGCTCTGCTGCATCTCAATGTAAGATGTGTTGTGTGTTGTAAGATGGAATTAGAACATAGTGCTCGAAAAAGTGGAAAAACAAAAGAATCACCAAATAAAAACAGAGGGGTGTGCAATATGTGTCAACATCACTTTTTGTCCCATTGTGACATTATAGGCCTAATTTAATTTTTGACAGGAATGAAAATGAGACACTGATTGTTCAACTGCTGAAACGTCTTTCTGAGAAAAAATTCAGTAGACAAAAACTCCATAGAACAGTTTTGAAAGCTGTGAAAAAAATACTTTAGAATCATCTTTTTATTTAAATCAGCATAAATGAAAGAGAATAAAACAAATGGTCAATAATATTTAAGGCTCTCTTTTTATCTATCTTAAATCTCTTTTTTTGTATATAACTAACGAGAATTGCATAAATAAAATATTTTGGAGTTGAAGAACAATTCATATTTTCATTTTATCATTTAATGACAACTAAGCACATGTTCCTCTACTTTCCTTGACCTTTCCTCATTATGGCAATCCATTTACTCACACACACACACACACACACACACATACATACACACACAAAAATTTTTTTTTTTATTGCAACACACCAAAGAAAATTACTTAACTGTCTTGAAGATAATGTCCTAATTGTGCTAAAATCATTTTTTGTTTATTCCTTCTGAATTTGTGGTGAAATATGACCCAGGTATGTTTTTTCCCCAGTAAGATTTATTATTTTATTAGAATGAAACAAAGGCCTAGACCTGATAAATATCTCAGATTGCCTCTATTATGATATATCCTTTGTCCATATGCTCACACACAGGGTCTGCTCAGGCTGTGAGTTGCTGTATGATGCGCACATCGTGCAGTGACAGGTTGCATACAGTCCAAAGGAGTAAAACAGCCTCGTTGCCTCTTTAAAATGAGTGACACTGCATTTAGGAATTAATTATTGAAGCAGTTTCTTTAGCCTGCTGTGCTGTGGCTATAATTTATGAGTCATAAATGCACATATGAGGCAGGAAGTGGAAAAGCTCTTAGGATTATTTTTCGAACCACAGAGGGAATTTTAGCATATCTGCAGCGAATCTGCAAAGTGTGACAGGATGTTCTTTGTCACTCAGAGCTGCTGCTGTATAAACTGTGACCAGAAGCACAAAACAAGCATCACATAAAAGACACTTCATTACTGTTTATGAGGGTAAGAGGCATAAACAGAGCTAAACTATCTTTATTTGCCATTTTTCATCATATTATGTTACCCAAAAGTGGAGAGTTTTGTAATCCACCAATTAATATGCTTTTCAGTGATGTTGTTGGCCAACTGAAGAGGTGCTTCAAAGCTTAAGTGTGTTTCAGAGACAAATGTTTAATTGTTTTTAACATTTAATGATGAGGCGCTTGAAGGCTGCAGTGTTTGTCACATAACACAAGAAAAAAAAAATGTGTGAGATGTGTTAATTAGACGTGATTTCACCCCACAATCAAAACTATATATATATATATATATGTATGAAGAGTTCATTTGCAAAAACCGATACAATGAATGATTCAGAAAATTCAGCTTTGCCATCACAGGAATAAATCACATTTTAAAATATATTACAATAGAAAGCAATTATTTTAAATTGTAACAATATTTCACAATATTACTGTTTTTACTGTATTTTTGGCTAAATAAATGAAGCATTGGTTAGCATAAGAGACTTTTTCCAAAAACATTAAAAATCTTACAACCCCCAGACTTTTGAATGTTAGTGTATTTTTAATTTCTTTCTTTCTTTCTTTCTTTCTTTCTTTCTTTTTCTTTTGATTTTAGGTGAAATATTACATAGGCATATTCTTGACAGGTTTTGTGATTTAGATTTACTCACTTTATATAATAACAAATGGGATACATTTATTCATGTGTTCCAGAGGTTGTTGCCATCTGTGCAAAAAACGGCAAAATATCAGTCCAGAGTGTCCATGTTACACACATTATTATAATGAATTACTATAGTAGCATAATTACAAGCAGCTCCACAAAATAATTACACAGTTAGCGCATGTAGTTCATTTGTTTTACTCAGCACTTACACAGTACAACAGGAACAGCATGTGTGCACTTGCACTAATGCATCTCTCGTCTGTGTTAATAGGTCAGTACTCGGATACAGATTAACCAGTGACGGCGAGCCCACCTGTAACTCTCCACTGTTCAGCAGTGACCCCAAGGATGACCACACCTACAGTTTTGCCAAATCTTCCAGCTCAGATGTCGAAGAAGAGGCCCACTGCGACGGAAGCGAGGTGAGCTTCCACACCAACGAGGCCGGCAGCGATGCCGAGGAGGACGACAAGAGCAAAATCAAGAAGGAGCCCAAGGAGTGGTCCGTGGACGCCCTCGCTCTGGCCCAGCACAAGAAACGGCAACATTTGACAAAAGTCAAACAGAGAGTGGCCAGTGACACTCTTCCTCTAAAAAAGAGGCGCACGGAGAAGCCTCCGGAAAGTGATGACGAGGAGATGAAGGAGGCGGCCGGATCCCTGCTTCATTTGGCGGGAGTCAGGGCCTGTTTGAACAATATCACCAACCGGACGGCAAAGGGGCAGAAAGAGCAAAAATAATAAACTGACTGTATTATAAAGAGAAAAAAAAAACATCACTTTGAATAGAATTTACTATTTTTTTCCAGGACATCAGGTGAATTCTACTGATTTGTGGCAATATCAACAATCACTTTGTTTTCCTATCTTTATAGGTAACATTTTACTGAGGGTTCCTTGTTTTAGTTCACTTTTAGTTTGTTTTATTGTGATTTCTGTTTTTAATCTACGGAGATTGAAGCCATAGCCTTCCCTTTTTTAAGATATTCAGCAAAGCATTTAATTTGACTGATAGAAAAAAAGCGATAGTAAAATATGCCCTGCCCCATTGTCATACAGTAGTGAAAAGGGATAGCTCACCCCAAAATGAAAATTCTGTCATAATTTTACTCACCTTCATTTCCTTTCAAATCCATAACACTTTGTTCGGCACGCAAAGGATTTTTACACAAATGAAATTCAAATCTGAAAGAGTTCTGTCCCTCCATTGAAAATCTATTCAACCAAAACTCTGATGCTTCAAAATGTTCATAAAGAAATCAAAAAATAAATCCAATTTGATCCAAGTCTTCTGAAGAGACATGATTGCTTTATATGATGAACAGATTTAATTTAGGCTTTTATTCACATACAAACATTGAGCGAACAAATTCGGTCACTGAAGCTCAAGCATGCTTGACACCCAAGAACCAATGAGGTTCATTCTCGCGTCACGCCAACACATTTGAGCTTCCTCAAGAACCAATGAGGTTTGCTCTTGATTTTGTTTCTTCAGAAGACCTGGATTAAACTGCATGATTCATTTCGATTTTTTTTTTAATGAATGTTTTGAAGCGTGAGAGTTTTGGGTGAATAGACTTTCAATGGGAGAGAAATCTCTCAGATTTCATTAAAATTATCTTTATTTGTGTTCTGAAAGTCTTATAGGTTTGGAACAACATAGGAGTGAATAAATGATGACAAAATTTACATTTTGGGCTGAACTAATCCTTTAAAAACATGACCGCAAATTGAGTTCTGCAGCACGTTCTGCAGCCAGAGTAGTTCTCAAGTGATAATTATGGGTTATAGTAATCTCTGCTGTAATAGAAATGTTTTAGAAGCACAGGGCAGTGCCAAAGACAATCCTCAAGCAGTTTCTGTGATGTCACTTCCCCTTGATGCTCTGGCCGTTAAAGGAGTCCAGCAGCATCGTGTGGAAAACACTCATGTCTGTAGTTGTCGTTTGGCTCGTATGAATCATAGATGAGAGTAAAGTCATAAACTTTTGTCAAAGTGCTTTTTGGAGTCAAAAGTGATACATTTATCAATAAGTCTCTCAAAACTGCCCCCATTTTTTTCTGAGCAATCAAATTGAGTGATATTTTCCATCTAAACCGATAGTGGATGGTGAAACTTTCTTCGGCACAATGAAAATGAAAACTCTGAGCTAAAGCTACAATACCTGCCAATTGTATTTTAATAGCAGAAAATAATGACTGTGGAGTTGTTTTGTGTTTGTTCATTTGTTTAAGCTTTTTTGTTATTTTATTTGAAACCCTCGTGATGTAATAAGCAATTTCATCCAGTCAGGATAAACACTGTATAAAAGTAACACTAGACCATTTTCCTTTCTTAATTTAAGCAATGTAGCCAGCAGGATTTTCCAAATCGTGTGGCATGGGTTCTGTAAAGAAAAAGAAGACCGTTAAAAAAAAAAAAATCAAAGTTCATGTAAGGTAAATAATGTATTTAGCATGGAGCATGAATTATTTTCATATAAATATAGATCCTAGAGAACTAAGGCACCGCCTCTAATTTCTATGCCAATAGGCCTAGTCTCTTTCGTTGTTTTTGTCGGATTTGATTTCCATTTGTCATCCTCATTGCCTTTGTGTTGAAGCAGGCATCTTAACAATTACCTTCTTCAGGGACAAACACTGACTGTTGGGAAACTCTCTCTGCAATACAAGGACACGGGCTTGGGCCATCTCGGTCCACGCTAGTGACCGCCCCGAATACCCACAAATACCCGCTACGTCAATGTCCGTGTCGTCAAGGAGAAGTTCGTAGTGAGTGTCGTTCCCCTTCCGGCTTCGTGCCTGCTTTTCTTCCATATGTAATCCGGATGTGTGTGTCTGTGATTTATTCAGGGTCTTCCATTTTGTTCCGCGAGACTTTGGATCTACATTTGTTTTTTCTTTTTCATTTTTCCTGTATTTACATGTAGCACTGTTCAGGAGTCATCAGTATTGATTCAGTTGTTCTCGGTACAGGCAGTCAGAACTTAAGGATTCAGTGCCAAAGCCTGTAATGACTCTATACACTGCAAAATGGAAGATGCATACTTGATGTGTCAGTCATAAACATGTCAAAAAGTTGTAGCATTTCTGTCAAGTACTCATGTAGAAGATATTCTCAGTCATATTTGTTAATATCGCACTGCATTGCTGTGTTTCATGAAGTCACCTGCCTTCCCCGTTCATCTGATGATGATAATGGTTTGACCCGATGTTTTGTAGCGTGTTGAATGTTATATCTGACCCATGAGTGTTAATGTGATGTCTCCAGTTGGCATGCCTTTCTCTAACCAAGCTAGACATTTCTTGACACAAAATAACCCTGATTATAACCTTGTCTGCTGGTCTTTATAAAGATCTGTCATATCACATTTCCGTTCAATATGCTTCAAACTGGGAAGCCGGTAGTAGAGAGAGCCACGAGTCCTGTATACACTGCCTTTCCTTCAAAGACAACACTCACTATGGAACTTTTCCTTTCTAGAACCTGAAACATGTTAAAAAGCATCAAGAAGAGCCAGCCAAAAAAAAAAAAAAACCTTAATAGGAGGCGAAGTGTTTCTTTTTCTTCCCATTGTGTTTTTTGTTTTTGTTGAAAGGTTCCTGTTAACTGCCATTCTGTTATGTGTTTGAATTGTTAAAGATGAAGGTAATGGAGTCCATTTGGTTTGTAATGAAATATTCAGTCTGATGGCATGTGCACCCTGCTAATATGTCAATATAGAGGTGTAATTGCACTCTGTATTTCCTTTGACTTGTAATCATATTGCCAAAGACAACAATTTTATAGATTAATGTAAATACCACTCTGTCCATTGCTACGACAAATTCTATTTGCTTTTGTTTTGTTTAGTTTTTTTCTCCAACCCTACCATCAAGTTTCTGTGATGTATTGTCTTCCAGTTGCAATAAAAAACTAAAAGTTGCAAAGATGATCCTAGCATGATGGTTTTGTGCAGCTCTAAGTCCATTGTTGATATTATTGCTAAAAAGAATCTTATTTTAATATATCACATGGATTTTCAAGCCAAATACTTCGTTTAACAGATAATTTGCCATTTTTTGTCTCAATATGTTTAACAGGTAGGGAAATTGGAAATTAGCCTAAACCAGAGTCCGTGACGTTGAAATACAGTAAAAATAGTAATATTGTGGAAATATTATTACAATTTAAAATAAATATATATATATATATATATATATGTTTTGTTTGCTTTGTTTTTTCGAATGGCAGAACGTATCATGAAAAACTGCACTGGGCTTTATCGCATTGTTGAGTCTGGGAAGTGGCTGCCCCCTTCATCACATAAAAACTTGTCGCCTCAGGAGGTTTGTTTGGGTTTGGAGGACCGTCTTCAGTGTCACATGATCCTTCAGAAATCATTCTAATATGCTGATTTAGTGCTCAAGAAAGATTTTTTATTATCATTTTTGAAAACAGTTGTGCATCCTTGTTGAATAAAAGTACTATTTTTTCTTTCCAAAAAAATAAAATAAATCTTACTGACCATAAATCTCACTGTTGGAAAACTGAATTGCTACATATTAAAACATTAAAGGGTTTAATGTTGTTTTAAGGTTGTGTGAAGGCTGAAGATGATGAACACAAGCAGTGACAGTCTCTGGAACATGACAATTTCTATACTGAACCTGATTGTCACTTCCTTCTCAGCAACCCACCTCCCAACTTCACACACCACAGATTTGCAGACGAAAGACTTGAATGAACAAGTAATATGATTATAAAGAATAAGCTAGTGTTTGTTTGGCTTAAAGTTGCATTCTTAAAGGTACAGTGCAACCATTTCAATTTTCCAATCAGTTCATATGCCACATTTTATGATCTTTATAAATGCAACAAACATTAAATACGAGTGTTGAAAGAGTTTGATGATGTCTGCTATCCCTATTAGAGTGAACTTTGTTTACACAATTTATCAGCCCTAATGCCTAATGGAGTCTGTGGCCTATTCTTAATCAAAGAGTGAGCGTTTGGAAATCAGAACTGCCTCCCTGCACCCTGTCACCACACCCATGCTCGCCTGTGTTGCTATGCAACTGCAGGAAAAGAGAGACTGAAAATGTACAAGAAGCTTTTTGCCAGACTCAGACATACAGAGTTGATCTATTTTGCAAGGGTTACGCACAGGTTACCGGAGCTGAGGTAGCACGCGCACTTCACTTTACACCGACATAGTCCAGGGAAAATTCTATTCAAAACAAAACTAAACACCAAACAAATGTCATTATTCAATTTGGGCTGTCTGTGCCTGTTTTTGTGGAGTTTGGCATGCGTGTGACCTTGTCGTACAATCTCTGCAAACATCACACTGGCAGTCAAAAGGCTGTTTAATTTACTCAGTAAATCTATCTTAGCGTTCCTCTGAAATCTCCCACGAGAGTCGGAGCGCAGCCCCAAAACACACTTCCAAAAGACATATTGCATGTGTTTGTTGCCAAGGAAACAAAGCGAGGTGGCTTTCATTCCAGCACATCCAGATGGTATATATATATATATATATATATATATATATGTTTTGTTTGCTTTGTTTTTTCGAATGGCAGAACGTATCATGAAAAACTGCACTGGGCTTTATCGCATTGTTGAGTCTGGGAAGTGGCTGCCCCCTTCATCACATAAAAACTTGTCGCCTCAGGAGGTTTGTTTGGGTTTGGAGGACCCGACAACCAGAACTAACACTTCCCACCTGCAACTACAACTCGTTTGCAAGGTAGCAGGAAACTGAGGCGCTCATTGGCAGCGCAAATCAATAGGCCTAAGTGCGCTCTTTGATGGAACGCACCGCGAGATAACCATTCAAATCTGCCACACGGTGCCTTCAGTTTGTCGGTCCTTGTAAGTCAGACATAAATATGGGAGTATTACAGCAAATCTGTGGCATTAAGGGAAGAATGTTTGAATACATTTGCAAGTCCATACATCTTTCCTTAATCTGCCTGATTTGCATGAGGGCACAGTCGAGGGATTTGAGGAGAAATTGGAATCTATGATACGATGGGTGGCGAAACGTGCCAGGACTTCATCAGCGAGGGCATGTGTTTCAGGTCTACATGGTCTCTCTACGAAATCACCAGGGTTTGAGCGGTTAGACATGCTGCTATCTCTTTCATCGATGTATAATGAGAGTAAAAAAACCTGGTTACGTTACCTGAGGTGACCCATAAACGTCATGAAGTATTGCATGTTCACTGAACTAGATTTACAGCGCTTCTCTTTGCAGCAAAATATTTAGTTTTAATAAAAA